TTCTATTGCTGAGTATTATTCTTGTCTAAGACTGTTCTGCACTTTAGGGTTTCCTTTCCTTTTGTTTTTATCAGTTTTCCTATTAACGGACACTTGGCTGTTTCTATCTTTTAGCCAAATAAGGAGTCTGAGAGCTTTTCTACAGAAATATGTGAATCCATGTTGCCATTTCTTTTGAGTAGACACCCATGGTTGCAATGGCTACCCCGTGAAAGAGGTGAATGTTTTAGTATTGTAAGAATTGTCCAGGTTTTGTTCCAGAAGGAATGTGTGACTTTATGTCTGCACTTTCTAGGAGCACACGGGAGTGCATCTTCGTTGCCATTTATATGATCAGTGACATGTCTTTTTATTTCAATTTGCATTTCTCTGACACCTGAGGACTTTCTGAACGCTGCATGCTTCTTAACTGCCCCTGATTCCTTTCAGTGTTAAGTGACTATTCCAATCTTTCACCTACTTCTACTGGGTTGTTTTTTTGCTCTAGAGTTCCAGATGTGCTTTATGTATCTTGATATAAAAGATTCAGTATAAATATTCAAGCCTCCTCTTTCCCACTCGCAGGATTTGGGACCCCAATTGTGTGACCTTCCTATCTTTCTCTCCACAGTGATGGTAGGGATTCTTCTTTATTTTGTAAATGTAAATTATTGATTTTTTCATGATACAGTTTCTTAGGCTCAGAGATCTCCCCTCCCACCTACCCACACTTTCTTCCCCCAACAGTTTCCCTCTATATTGTAACAATATTTTAGTTTCTCAACAACAGCCACAAGTCTATCATTCCGCACCTGACATTGTAGGTATAGAGAACGGTAGAAAGTCCAGGATTCTATTGTCAAGATGTAGTTAACAGTTTCATTGGGAGTTCATCTTTTATTCAAAAGTAGAGGTGCATACTGCAGTGTATCTCCACTTCATGTTATCTTATCTACATTATAGAGCTCATCTAGATAAATATACTTGTATACATGCTTACCTATTGATCTTGTATTTTACATGAAGGTTGCCTTATGTCAGAGAAAACATATAATATTTGTCCTTTTGGGATTGACTTATTTTACTGAGCATAATGGTCTCTAGTTGGGACCATTTTGTTGCAAATGGTAGAATTTCATTCTTTTTAGTGGCTGAGTAGTATGCCATAGAGTAGATGTACCACAGTTTCTTTCTCCACCCCTCTTTTGATGGGCATCTGGGTTGTTTCCATGTCTTAATTATTGTAGATCATGTAAACATAGGATTACAGATCATTTTCTCACATGCAGATTTTACTTCTTTGGAAATATTCCCAGAAGTGGGACAGCTGAATTATATAGCAGATCAATTTTCAGTTTTTTTTTTTTTCAATTTTCAGTTCTGATAGCACTAGCATACTAACTTCCATAGTGGTTGTAGTAGCCTAAGGAGGGCACCTTTCCCCCTACATTCATGCCAGAAAGTATAGTAGATAGAATTCCAAATGTAGGCCAATCTCACTGGAATTGGGTGAAATCTCAATGTATTTTTAATTTGTATTTTCCTGATAGCCAGGGAGCTTGAGTATTTCTTCATATATCTCTTAGCCGTTTGAATTTGTTCTTTTGAAAAATGTCTGTTCATTTCCTTTGTCTATTTCTTCACAGGATTGTTTTGCTGTCATTGAGTTTCTGAAGCTCTTTGTAAATCCTGGATATTAGTCCCCTATCAGTTGTGTAGTGTGCAAATATTTTCTCCTATTCTGTTGATTGATTACTTTCTTTGATGATCATTTCCTTTTCTGTACAGAAGGTTTTAGTTTGATGTAATCTGGATTGCTTATTTTGGCTTTGACGATCTGTGGTTTGGTGTCTTTTTCAAGAAGTCTTTCCGCATTCCTATATCTTGGAAAGTGTTTCCTGTATTTTCCTCTAACAGTTTGATGGTTTCTGGGTGCAGATTTAAGTCCTTGATCCATTTAGAGCTGATTTTAGTATAAGGTGATAGGTGGGGGGGGTCTTGATTTTTACTTCTGCAGGCTGCTATCTTCTTGTCCCAAGGGCATTTGTTGAAGAAACTAGACTTTTCCCTGGATTGTTTCCAGTTTTCTTGTCAAAGATTAGTTTACTATACATGTGTGGGCTCTTTTCTGGTGTTTCTGTTCTGTTCCACTGATCTTTTTATCTGTTTCTGTACCAGTGCCAGACTATTTTGGTGACCACTGCTCTGTAGTATGTCTTGAGTCCAGACTTGCGATTCCTCCAGCTTGATTTTTATTCTTCAGGATACTTTTGACTATTCTGGTCTCTTGTGTTTGCAGATGAAGTTCTGTATCTTCTTTTCTGTTTCTGAGAAGAATGTTGTTGGGATTTTGATTGGGATTGTGCTGATTCTATATATTACTTTCAGTAATATGGACATTTGATGATGTTGATTCTGTCAATTCAGGAACATGGTATGTTTCTCCATCTTTTAATGTCCTTCTCTTTCTTTAATGTTTTATAGTTTTCATCATACAGGTCTTCCACATATTTGGTTAGATTAACTCTAGGTATGTAAGATTTCTCTCCACTATTTAAGGAGATTGTACTTACAATTTTTTTCTCAATCATGGATTTATTTGTATATACTAGTGCCATCAATTTGTGTTCATTAATTTTGTATCCTGCTACCCTGCCAAAGTCTCTTATGAGCTCCAGTAGTCTCTTGACTGAGTCTTTTGAGTCTCCTAAGTAGAGAATCATATAATCTGCAAACACGGATAATTTCAATCCCTCATTTCTGATTTGAATTCCTTTAATTTGTTTTTTTTTGCCTAATAGCTCTGGTAAGGACTTATAATACTATATTGAATAGCACTGATGAGCGTGGACACCCTTGTCTAGTTCCAGATCTTAGTGGAAAAGCTTCTAATCTTTCCCCATTTAGTAAGATGCTGGCATTGAGTTTTATATATATATAAATATATATAATATATATATATTGCTTTGGTTGTGTTGTGGAATGTTACTTTTATACCTATCTTGCTTAGGGTTTTTAGCATGAAGTGGTGTTGGATTTTAACAAATGCCTTATCTGCATCTATTGAGATGATCATATGGTTTTTGTTTTTCAATATCTTAATGTGATATATCACAATTATTGATTTGCATACATTGAACCATTCCTGCATGCCAAGAATAAAAGGGATTCTTCTTGGTTAGCACCATGTTTGTAATCTCTAGAATTCCCCCTGACACATGGTAGGAGCTCAAGAAACCTATTCAGAGCAACAAGAAATAAGGAAATAAACTGACTTTTAGGCCTGATATTAGGACACAGTGCACTGTAATTTAGTGGCATTAATTAGCAAGGAAATAGATTTTTTAAAAAAAAGATAGTAATTTTATTATCAGTTGTGAAGAAGAACATAGCATAGCTTTAAGGGATTTGTTTGCCCAGGAGAAATACAGCCCCACTGGCTGTACATCTGTGTTTATATGCACAAGGCTTATTGATTTTTAAGGTTCAGAAACCTATGTCTGTCATTAGAAATTCAGGTAACATATAACAGATATGGGTAATGCTCAGTCTTTTTGTTTAAATTTCCTTGCAGTTTCTCCCACTCTTATGATCATAAGGTATTAAAGAGAGAACTATACCAAAAACTGCATTTATTGAGCCATTCTTTTTTATTCAGTGGACACACACTTTCCAGCCTGAGTTAAGAATCAAGACTAGATTGTATGTGACCTCACCAGGTTGATTTTATTGCAGTCAAAATAAAAGCATTTGATATTTTAATCCATCTCCAAGGCTAATAACCAGGGCATTTCCATTTCTGCTGGGCTTTTGGAAGATTAGAAGATTTGTGCGCAGTGGTTTAATTCTTGCCTTGCAAGCGCTGGGATCCCATATGGGCACTGGCTCATGTCCTGGCCGCTCCACTTCCCATCCAGCTCCCTGCCTGTGACCTGGGAAAGCAGTAGAGGATGTCCCAAAGCCCTAGGACCTTGCACTCATGTGGAGACCTGAAGAAGCTCCTGGCTGCTAGCTTCAGCTCATCCTAGCTCCAGCCATTGAGGCCACTTGGGCTGTCGGAGCACTCTTGGGCTCTTCTTGGTTCAAATCCATATGACTTGGAGAAAACTTCCATTTTCTAGGAACAGACATTTTCCCCAACCATCACCTAAGGTGCAAAGGTTAAAACCATGCCTGTTGCATAGCTTCACAAATTGTCTAACTTGAATTATAGTCTCAGAAGGTCCTAATGGGCACTTTAAAGGCAGTGCTTGGTTTTAAACAAGCAGAATTAAGAGCTGATGTTCTGCCAACTGTAGAAGAGGAGGTTATTTAACAGCTAGTGTTGCATAATCCCATGAACTATTTTTTTTTAAGATTTTTTTTTTAATTGGAAAGGCAGATATACAGAGAGGAGAGACAGAGAGGAAGATCTTCCGTCTGATGATTCACTCCCCAAGTGAGCGCAACGGCCGATGCTATGCCAGTCCGAAGCCAGGAGCCTCTTCCGGGTCTCCCACGTGGGTGCAGGGTCCCAAAGGCTTTGGGCCGTCCTCCACTGCTTTCCCTGGCCACAGGCAGGGATCTGGAAGGGAAGCGGGGCTGCTGGGATAGAACCGGCACCCATATGGGATCCCGGGCGTGCAAGGTGAGGACCTTAACCACTGCACGACTGCGCCACCGCACCGGGCCCTCCTATGAACTATTACACAATAATCTATCTATCTATCTATCTAAAGCATTTTGTGCAAAGAAAAAGGCATGAGTAACACTAAGTAAGTGACGGGAATGGAGAAAGCAGTATATATACTCACAGCTGTGAGAAATGCATCCATGTGCCTAATGGTTCAGAGTAATGGGCAGAGGTGATTAAAGCTTATATTAGGAGGGATAAGAGTAAGCCTTTTCCAAAACATCTTTTATATGATTTGTTATATATGTCATTTTTGCAAATGAAAATTTCAAGTGGATTTGTATTACCCCAGTAGTAAATATGTATTTTATTAAATGAATATTGTGCTTGATATTATTTTGTTTTACAGGAAAGCCAGAAGTCCACAAACGTAGTCTACCAAGCCCACCATGTGAGCAGGAACAAGAGAGGGCAAGTGGTTGGAACAAAGGGTGGATTCCGAGGCTGTACGGTGTGGCTAACAGGTATGCCATATTCTCTCTCTCTCTCCACTTCAATATCTAATATCCATTTCAACATCAATATATGCATCATGTATTTGTATTTCTCAGTGTTTGGATCAAAAGCTGATGTGACACACAGTTTTATGGTGATCAGATTGCACATGTAACATTTGGGTGTCAATCCTAACTCTACCAGAGAGAAAAAGAGCAAGATCTGATTGTAAAAACACAGTCTGATCAAGTCGCAGAAAGCAGCTGTCCAGCAGTTTTCTCGTTTTTGGCAGCAAGGATGGAACATCTGTTTCCAGCCCCTGGGGATTCAGTCACTCTATGCCTCGAAACTGGCCCTTATGAATGGGGCTTTTCAAAGATACCAAGCAATTGGCCATCATAAGATGTCAAATTTTTCCTATGGTTTTCCAGTATTCTGACATCCTAAGGGTCTATCTCACTTGAAACTAACTTAACAAACCTTACAGTCTGTGCTAGAAAGAACATGAGTGATTTCCGTTTGCATGAAAGTTCCTTCTTATTGATGGGCAAAGCTTACTCCCACTGAGGTGACTTCATGAATCCTCTTTTTCTTGCATTCTTACAGTCACAAGTGTCAGAGCTGGGGATTAGGGACAGAGCTGCCTCTCCCTGCCCAGTGGTGGGCTGTTACCTTATATTCCGAGTACAAGGTAGAGGAAGGCATTCCCTGCGGAGTAAGTCTACAGCGCCTGGACTCAGAAGGACAAGCCAAGTTCATTCATCTCATAGACATGACTTTTCAAATGGAAATAAGCCCAGGCATGAAACTACGTTTATCTGTGAAATCAGTGCCTGTGTTACTCTCTATTCACAGACAGACACCTCTCAATATGGCAGGCAAGGCTCTGCCTTGTCTCCTTTCTTGCTCTTCTGTCTCCTGTCCAAATCAGTCCTACTGTTGCTTTTTAGCAGGTTTCTTCCTAGCGGCTTTGGTCTCCTGATTCCATTCATGCCTAAACTCCAGGTGAGAATAGACATCGGGCCGGGAGCCTGCTGTATTCACATCTACAGCAGTCGCCTGCCACTATGCCTGAAATATTGGCCCCAGCTCCCTCCGAGAGACCTGGTTTGAGGTAGTGAGTACGGCTGTGTTCCAAAAACTTCACTCATTTTATGTTTGCCTCCATGAGAGGCTTATTTGCAAAAATAACTTTTGTGTTGGTATGTATCCACAAAATCCATTTTACCTAATGTGGATTTCCCCTGAAAAGAAAAAGAGCTCTAGACAAAGAGGAAAAAGGACTCTAAAGAGTAGATTTTCTCTGTTTTTCTCTTAAATCATCCGGTGGTCAGCATTGTGGTTTCACAGATTAAGCCACTGCCCGTGATGCCAGCATCTCCTGTGGGTGCCAGCCAATGTACCTAGGAAAGCAGCAGAAGGTGGCCCAAGGGACTGGACCCCTGCCACCCCAGTGAGAGATCCAGGCTCTTGTTTCAGCCTGACATAGTTTGAGTGTTGTTGCCATTTGAGGAGTGAGCCACTGGATAGAAGATATTCTCTCTCTAATTCTTCTTTACAAATTAAGTAAACAAATGATTTAAGACTAACTTTTTATTTTCTATTTTATTTTTTTTAAATTTGTTTTATTTTTATAGTAAAGTCAGATATACAGAGAGGAGGAGAGACAGAGGAAGATCCTCTGTCCGATGATTCATGCCCCAAGTGAGTGCAATGGCTTGCACTGCGCCGACTTGAAGCCAGGATCCAGGAACCTCCCCCAGGTCTCACAAACAGGTACAGAGTCCCAAGGCTTTGGGCCATCCTAAACTGCTTTCCCAGACCCAAGATTCACTTTCTGTATATTTATTTTTTATTCTCATGTCACAGAGGTAGATGGTTGATTAAAGAGATCTAAAGACACCAGATACTTCACATCCAGAGACACGAAGTTGGATCCCAGCTCCACCTACATTAGCTGTGTGTCTTTGGACAAGCCATTTGCCTCTTTAAGTCACAGTTTTCTTATGTGAAAGATGAGAATAAAGAGAGTATCTGTCTCATGTTTGACATGACCAAATGAAAAATAAGGCATTTAAGATAAGTGCAAGTTTTGCGCCTGGCACAATAGCCTAGAGGCTAAATCCTCACCTTGCAAGTGCTGGGATCCCATATGGGCACTGGTTCGTGTCTTGGCTGCTCCACTGCCCATGCAGCTCCCTGCCTGTGGCCTGGGAAAGCAGTAGATCATGGCGCAAGGCTCTGACACCCTGCACCCACCTGGGAGACCTGTAGAAGTTCCTGGCTTCTAGCTTCAGCTCTGCTTAGCTCCAGCCATTGCAGCCACTTGGGGGGTAAACCAGCAGAAGTAAGATCTTTCTCTCTGTCTCTTCTTCTTTCTATAAATCTGCCTTTCCAGTAAAAATACATCTTTTTAAGAAATACAAGTGCTTCAGGCCTGCCACTGTGGCCTAGTGGCTAAACTCCTCACCTTGAACGTGCCAGGATCCCATATGGGTGACGGTTCTAATCTGGGCAGCTCCACTTCCCATCCAGCTCCCTGCTTGTGGCCTGGGAAAGCAGTGGAGGATGGCCCAAAGCTTTGGGACCCTGTGCCCGTGTGGGAGACCTGGAGGAAGTTCCTGGCTCCTGGCTCCAGTTCGGCGCAGCACCAGCCTTTGTGGCCACTCAGGGAGTGAATCATCGGACAGAAGATCTTCCTCTCTGTCTCTCCTCCTCTCTGTATATCTGACTTTGTAATAAAAAAACAATCTTTAAAAAAAATAAAAAAAACAAGTGCTTGATGTGTAATAAGTTATTGTTTTTTCTGGATTTTGATGGCTTTGATTTTAATTAATTTATTTATCTATTTATTTATTTTATTGTTTTTTGATACAGTTTAATTGGTGCTGGGCTCTTCCTTCTGCCTCCCCCAAGTTCCCTCTCTTCCCTTCTCTCCTCCCCTCCAGTTTCACAATGTGTGTCTTTTGTTAATTTTCCCAAGTCCATCATGCTGTGATGGCTTTGATTTAAGTTCGATCAAGTGATTGTAATGAGAAGTAGTTAATGCTGAGAAGTGCAGGCTCAGTTCAGAACAATCTGGGACAATAGCAGTGTATCTTGCCTGCTTTTTATAGGACTTTCAGGTGCTGGAAAGACAACAATAAGCTTTGCTCTGGAAGAATACCTCGTCTCCCACGGCATCCCTTGTTACTCCCTGGATGGTGACAATGTCCGTCATGGGCTTAACAAGAACCTCGGCTTCTCTGCCGGAGACAGAGAAGAAAACATCCGCCGGATTGCCGAAGTGGCAAAGCTATTCGCAGATGCTGGTCTGATCTGCATCACCAGCTTCATCTCTCCTTTCGCCAAGGTAAAATGTTTGGGGAACAAGCACTTAAGCCGACAGCTAAGACACTGCGTTCTGTGTCATTCAGTTCTTCGCTGTGCTCGCAGCTCCTGGCTCTGCCCCGAGTCAAACCCTGGCTGCTGCAGATTGAAAGAATGAACCAGCAGAAGGGAGCTCTTTCTCTCCCTCTCCTCTCTCTGTCTCTGTCTCCTCAAAATAAAAGACTCCAGAAAGCTTTGGAACTGCACACGATACCTGCAGACAGCGTGAGTACGTTCAAAAGGACTTCCAAACTGTTAGGAAAAGAAGTTGGACGCAAGGAAGGTGCAAAGCAGCGTTGTGCTTTCCGTCCGCCTACCGTTGCTCTCCCTCACGTGCTCCCTCATTTTTCCTCTGTTTAACATAAAGAAGAATTCCCTTACTTCCAAATTCCAGGTCTGCAATTGACATTAACCCTGTCACTCTCATTGCCATTAGGGGTATCTGGTTAGAGTTGAACAGAAGAAAAAAGTTAAACAAGAACAACTCTTAACATTCAGCAATCAAATGTTTGAAAAGAATGTTTAGCTGAGTCAAGAAAAAAGCGGCCAAAGCATTGGGTTATGTGTGTTTAGTATTGACGTCACTGAGGTAGAGTATCACGCTTCTTGTTTTAAAACAAGAGACTTTGGGGAGTTACCAAAAATGTGCCATGTACTTTGAATACTTGCTTTGGCTAAAATGTTCCCACTTTACTGGTTTTCTCTAGTTTTCTCTGCATGTTCCTGATAAAGCTGTGTTTACCAGAGCAAGGCTTCTGGTCTTTCTCTGAACACGACAGAGGACAAATCCCAACGCTATCTCGAGCTTAACAGACAACAGAACATACAATGTGGTGCGATTAAGAATTGTACTATGGAATTTTGTCTTAGTCCATTTTCTGTTGTATTAACAAGATACCACAGCCTGGGGTATTTATGGAGAATAGAAGTTTGATCAACTGAAGATTCTGAATACTGTCAGTCTTAAGAACATGACCTTGGCATCTGGTGAACGCTTTGTTAGGGCATCAGGACACAGTGCTGTACAACAGAGTGGGCAGGCATCAGCTCAGGTCGCCCAGGCTGTAAAGCCGTCCACTCCCACCCACTGTGGGGATGCGACCCTGTTAGCCTTAACTGGTCCTGATGGCCTTCCACAGTCCCACCTCCAAAACATGAATTTATGAATAAAATGTGGAAGATATAAAGCTTGGGGAATTCATTCATACCATAGAAACCTCCACTTATATCCTTAAGTGTGTTGTTTTTCAGGATCGTGAGAATGCCCGCAAAATCCATGAATCAGCAGGACTGCCATTCTTTGAAATATTTGTAGATGCACCTCTAAGTATTTGTGAAAGCAGAGATGTAAAAGGCCTCTACAAACGAGCCCGGGCTGGGGAAATTAAAGGTATGGGAATAAGCTAGCCATCCCTTTGTCAATTATTCAGACTGCAGATCCGTATTTATTCTGGCCTCAGAGTCTGTCTGAAGTCTCAAATTATGTTTTACAAAATTGCATGTAATGTTCACAGCTTTTTACTAAATCATACTATTTGCACTATGTGTGTGGGTTTATTAAAAGGCAGGGTTTTGGTTTGTTCTTCAAGAAGTGTCACTCTGCTATAGCAGCAAAGTTGAGAGAACTGAAATACAGGTGTCTGTGAGTAGGCAGGCAGGATGGTGTTTCCGAATTTCCCCTTGCTTTTCTTTTCAGTGTTAACCAGTTGTCAGTGGTTTGTACTTAGATTTTTTTTTGATGGCTTGAGTTTTCCATGTTAAAAATAACAGCTGTGTAACTTCTTACCCATTGTTGGAAGTCAAAGATGGGTGTTCAGTTTAACACATCATTCCCACATATGTTACTGCCTTTTTGATTAAAAGGATTTTTCTCTGGGGTGGGTTTCTGGTCTAGCAGTGAAAGCAGTGGTGACGTCTGCTCTCAACAGCACCTGGCTCTGATTCCTAGCTCAGCTCCTGATTCCAGCTTCTGGCCAACGCTGACCCTGCCAGGTGATGGTTTAAATCATCAAGTCCCTGCCTGGGACACCTGGACTGAGTGCTTAGTTTCTGGGTTCTGCTCAGCCCGTTCTTGCCGTAGCAGGCATCTGGGGTGCAAAACCAGTAGATGACAGCTGTCTACCTCTGCCAAGTCAGCCAGCCAAGCAATTGATCACACAAGCCGTCTGTCAGTCTAGCTGTAATTCTTTCTTTTACTCTCCTGTTTTGCAGGATTTACAGGTATTGATTCTGATTATGAGAAACCCGAAACCCCGGAGTGTGTGCTTAAAACCAACTTATCCTCAGTAAGTGAGTGTGTTCAGCAGGTAGTGGAACTTCTACAAGAGCAGGTGAGTAGGCTAATGAGCCCTTGTTTTCAATTTAATAAAAGTCATGGAAGATCATCCAGGCTGCTTTTATGGAAGCATTCTTTTTGTGGTTTTAATTTTATTTATTATCAATTTTGCTTCATTGCAGAACATTGTACCACACACTGTCATCAAAGGCATCATTGAGCTCTTTGTGCCTGAAAACAAACTTGACCAAGTTCAAGCTGAGGCTGAAACTCTCCCTTCACTGTCAATTACCAAGGTAAGAGGGTGCACTGTGATCATTCCCAGTCATTATAATAACGTTACAGATACTGTAAAATCACTGCATTTTTGCCATTTTGTAAACCTCTTCTACAAGCCTGTCTCTCATCAAGAGTTGTTACACAGCATTGATCAATACAATGTGCAGAGGCAGACCGTGAAAGTAACTTCTGTTTATGTATGGATCATTTTTATGCAGCTATCTTTGTATATTCAGCTTTGCAAGGGTCAGCCTTCAGGCTGATAATAATTTGTTGGCAGTGACCAAGATCACAGTTTGTTGAGAAGGTAAATGACTTCTTGGGCAGTTGTAAAGGAATTTGAAGAAAACAAATTATACAAATGCCTTGAACTGCTCTACTCTTATCTTCACAAGGGAGAGTCTAATCTGAAGACAGTGATAGCCCTGGTTGCACTGATTCTGCCACCTGGACAGTGTCAGATGCAATTCCAGTGCTGAACTGTGCTGTGTATGCTGTTCTGTGAATCAGTGTTAGCTGGTCTGTAGTAAAAGATCAAGTCTTTACTGGAATATTTTTGTTCTCCATTAAAGCAGTAGAGATTTCTAAAAGCTAGAGTAATTTAGGGAAACTACTTCAGCTACTGATAAGCCATCAGCTTTTTAAAAACAGTATTGTCAACTGCATGGAATAAATTCTGAACGCCCCGGACCTCCAGCCAGACAGTAGATACATAACTGTAATTACAGGGTGGTGTTTTAGTTCCAATAATATAATGTTCCACAAGAACTTCACAAAATCCAGTGATTAATTTTTTGGTTATAGGCACAGCAGGAAGGATTTTAGAGCCATGACTGGCTGCCAGGTTTTCAAGGATGAATAAAAATCTGCAGGTGGAGAGGAGGATGGGTACCACATGTATTTAGATGACCCACTGTCTAGCATTGTTGGTGAAAGGCCCCAACCAGAAAGCAGAAGAAGATCCAAGTTCCTTGAGTGCCAGGAGCCAGAGTTAGAAGGGTTTTCTCTCTCTCGCTAATAATTTGGGACCCTACCTTATAGCCAACTGTTTGTCCACATGGTGGAAAAAAATCAGCCAAACCAGAATTTTTGTGTAATAAAGAACAAAAGGTAAAGGACAGGCAAAGGAGGGTTGGTAAGAGACAAAATCAGCAGTGTAGGGTTAGATAGAGCTTAAAGGGTTTGGATAAATCATTTCATTTAGAAATCTTTTTATTACTCTTCCATAGGAGAGTTCTAGACTTAAATCTGTCTGGTCCTTGGATCGTGGGTCAACATAAAAAATTCAGACAGTTAAAATGTAAAAGGTTCTGCCTCCAGCTCCTGTCAGCTGTCTCAGAAGGCACTGTGCTGGGTGAGATGCCTGAAGAACAACTTATGGAAATGTTCACCTGCTTTGGTGTTTTGCAGCTGGACCTTCAGTGGGTCCAAGTGTTGAGTGAAGGCTGGGCCACACCCCTGAAAGGTTTCATGCGGGAGAAGGAGTACTTGCAGGCGATGCATTTTGGCACCCTCTTAGATGGTATGTTTGTTTTTCTTTGTTGTTTTTATTGTTGCTTAGTTGTTTTGTTTCATACCCTTAATTAGTAATAAAAAACTTATTTCTGAAAAGTTTCACCAAAACAGGAAATGTTCATTTTTGGCTTGTCAATCTTATTGTGACAAAATTTTTTTATCACTTATGGGGTGTTCAATTCTATTATGCCTAAGCTTCCATTTGGGGATTTTTTTTTTTTTGGTTGTTGTTCTTAAAGGGCTACTGGTTGTTTAAAACTAAAGAACTGAAAATGAAGGTTTCTCTTGCACATGAAGGCAAGAGGTTAATCCTCTTTCCCCTCCACCTGCTGTTTGCTGTTCTTGTATTGAGAGGGACCATGCTGGGGCAGCCCCTGTATGCACAGCACATTTTGCTGACTCCCTTGGTACCCCCCATCCTCCAGGTTGGTCTTATCAAGCATTATTAAGACAGCTGCTTTGCTTGGTGGACGTTGAAGTGTCCAGGTTCACTCCCATACATAGAATACGTTATGGTGATTCCATCTGCTGCACTCTGACAAGGGAGAGTTAGGAAGCTCTGCGGGCATAGACAAAGTAGCTTTTAGAAACTAGGTTGGTCAAGGTCAGAAGCATGTGTTATTCAGAAGAATTCCTGAACTTTTTATGATCATTTTGTGTTGGGGCTTATCAGATACAATTTGTTTACTTACTTGAAGATTTCGGGGAATGGCTGCCAAGGGAGGAAGAGATGGTGGTGGAGTTACACTGAATTTGCAAAATTGAGCAGGGCTCCAAATCTTTGAGGAAGAAAAATCAAATATGTTCTTTTTTTGGAAAGAACTTCATGTTCCTGTTCTCAACTTGTGCTGTTGCTTAAGGAATGTGGCATAAAGCTAGGCTCAAAACTCAAACGGTGATTAAAATAGGCAGTTCCTCTGCTATAACTGTTAATGCCCCATAAGCCAATATCTTTATTTCTCAGATTAAATAATATTCCAAAAGGACATAGTATTTCTACATTGCCTAAACAATAATAAGCATGCCAATAGAATCCGCAAGGCCAGGATGTGCACACAGGCAAGGCTGGTGTTAATCTGGATGCCTTGCCTTGGGCACATGCTGAACACAGACTCACTGGAGAAATAAGAGCTTTACTCAGCATCCACACCAGAGCTGTAGCCAAAAAACAAGTGAATCGCCCTGAAAGAAGGGGATTTCATTGTATACACTGCTGTTGACCTTCCACAAGTCCTTGTTCAATGAAGGAAAATACCAGGGTGGCAGTTGTAGTCACAGAGGTCAGTGTTCGCAGGAACCGGGGGCATCCACGTGACATCAAGAACTTCAGTGAGGCCGAACAAAAAGCACCCTGAGTTAAGCAAGACTGGTGTTTGTTTTGAGGAGGGGAGAGGGCATTTTCTTTGTTTAAGAATTTAGAACTTTTGATAGATGCATAAAAGGTCTTGTGATCCAAAAAGTTAGATGCCTAGCCCTACCCAACCCACCAGCCTGGAGATATACATGAGATCACCTTCGCATTAATGCTTGAATCCCACTGGTTTCAAGTTCTGTCTGTTCATATGGAAATCCTAGTCCTTTCCTAAACCTATATGCACATATCTGGGAATCACTCTGCACTATGTCCTGTGCCCCTGAGTCAGACACACAGATACATGCCACCTCCTACCTGGCTCTGTGTGGCTGTCTGTGCCCACAATGCTGCAGATCCTGCCCATATGCTTCGCCACAAAGGTTCTTGGTTCTTGGTACTCACAGGGCTGTGGCAGTCCGTAGATTCTTCCCTTTCTCTGTGCTGGCCTCAGCTGAGGATTCTTTAGAAAGTTGTTTGAGAACTGTAATATTAGAGAACTGAGTGAGACAACTCATGGTTCATTATCCTCTTGTGACTATGCTCATTATCCTGGATGGCTATGTCCAGATGAGATGTGCAGTTCTATAATTCCTACTCTCTTCCGATCTGCAGGGTCAGTTTCTGGGACTTTCTGTAAGACTCCTTTTCTCCTTAGGGAATTCTCTGGTGGCTGAAGTCATCCACCTCCACACCCAGAGTTCATTAGACATAATGTCTGCAGGCCCAGGAGGGTGGGGTTCTAAGCTCTGCATACTGCCCCCCACCCACCAGAAGCTGCCCCAACCTCTTTGTGAATCAAGCAGTAAAAACAGGCAGCAGAGATATGATGCGTACCTCTGTTCCTCTCCGTGTCTGTGTAGCTGTGGCCTGGCAGAGAGAGAATATTGAATGAGTAAGAGTGTGAGCCGTGGAGTCAAACTGGGTTCTGATATGAGTGATGAGCTATAAACCTGGGCCATGTAAGTATAGACAGACAGTTGCCTCGATTACATATTAGAGATGTTAATAACAATACCTCACTCACTGGAATATTGAAAGTTTACTTCTCGAATGCCCCTGTATGCCAGGACTTGTCTAACTGCTGTGATGACAAATCAGCTTGCTGGCGCAGGGAACACAACTGGTCATACGCTGGAGAATTCTCCCCATCACAACAGTAGTTGTGAAATGGTTCTTTCTAAGATATCAACTCTTTATTTTCTTTTAATATTAGAGTATTTACATATACACAATGATGTATCTTTGGGATAGAACCCATCTAAGCACACAATTCATTTATGTTTTATAGACACTTTGCATACATTACCTGAAGGTCTATTTTTATAGAATATTTTTAGCACATCTGCATATTCAACTGTGCTCCAACACATGAGGTCAGGTGAGGAATTTTCCTCTAGTGGTATCGTTATCACTCTGTCCTTTCATGATCTCTAAACATTTGAGATTCCAGAATGTTCTAAGGCAGTTTACTTCTACACTGTCTCCCAAAGCCAGTTTGTGAGCCATTATGTATCTGTTCGTGATGGAATCTCGTATTTGGAAAAGGTATCATCTTGATGAAGTCAGAGGAGGCTACAAGTGTTTTTTATAAATAATTATTTAAAATTATTATCTGAATAGCGCTTTGGAGTTGTATTAAATGATGATCCACACAAATCCTCATTTCACCAACTATTTTTCTTTTTTGCTATTTTTCCCCACTTTTTAAAAGTAGTATACTAGATAGGCCCCAAATATTTATATGTTGTGTGTATGAGCTGTTATAATAGAAACTTCATTCCTTGACACTGTTGCTTTAAGATTATTTTGCAGAGTTCCAAACTTGTTTTTTAACTGTGTTTGTATTTCTCTAGGCATCATCCTTCATGGTATGTACTTTAACTTCACAAATGGTTAAATTATTGTAATTGGATACATTATTTAATTTGAAATGGTTAAGAATATGTCTTTAAGAAATCTGAATTTAACCAGCTGGAATTGCCATCAGTTCATGATCCAACCAGTTATAATACAATAATAATCCATTCTTTTGTTGAGTGGAATATAAATAACAGGAAAAATTCTGGATCAAATGCAGCTGCTGTTTGTAATGTTGTAAATAACTGACAAAAGTAAATTTTTCTAAATAATTGTGCATTTTATTCATGAGTGTCTAAAATTTTGTGATCCTGCCTGTTGGCTCTTGTTTCGTTTCATAAATCTGGAATTTTTAAATTGCATTTATGCAACATTTTTGATTGATGGAGGCCAAATTCATTTTTAATGCAATTGAAAGTGGATGTGCCTGGTTGGATTGTGTATGATCATACTTTGCAATGTGTGATTGTGCATGAATTTAATTTTAAGTTATCATGATTCAAGTTATCACACTAAGAATACATACACATTTGCTGTGACTATAACTGCTGCACCGTACAGGAATGAAAAGGTAAAGTTCTGTAGATATCTGTCACTGGAATTTTAGCAACGTTGTTTTCTCTTTTTTTGAAAAGAGAAAAAAAAAAGCACCTCACTAAGCAATAAAGAGAAATTTAGTTCTTGCTGAGAGCCCCAAGTATCCAACCAATATGCACATTTACTAAGGCTAAAACAGAAAACCTTGAAAATTACAACATAAGGAAAAGTATTCAGTGAAACAGGGAGATATCTTTTGGACTTAGCATGGTTAAAAGATAAATAGCAACACAGTTGTCTTGCCAAGAGAGTTTCCACAGTCAGATCATCCAGGCAGCCCCTGCCCCAGCTCAAGCCCGTGAAGGAAAAGACTGACACTCCCAGTCCATGTGCAAAGCCATGGAAGATGTTTTAGCACGGTTTGATTTGTTCATGTGTTAAGGAAGTTGACAAAGATAGGGAAACCACTGAAAATGGACTACTCCCGTGTGCAACTGCAGTCACTGTCCTGCAGAAACAGTTAGCATTAGTATGCTGTGGAACTCCTTTCTGGAACATCCTGCAGTTGCCCAGCTCTCCTGTCCTGACAACCTGCTGGGGAGTGCTGTTTAATCATTGTGGAATTGCACACAAGGCCAGGACGGTACACTAGGCCGGAACCCAGTGTTCTGAAGGAATCGGCTGCAGCAGCCAAGCCAAGTATCTCTTGGATTGCCATGTGGATTACTTATGTGGTGGAAAAGAAGGCTGCAGGCAGGTCGCAAGTGGGGCCAGGTTTCTTCCCACATGGCTGGCTTCAGCATTTGTTTGTTTTTTTGTTTTTTTGTTTTTTTTGAGCCAGCCACTGTTTACTGAATATTGTAGTCTTCCTCTGAGCCATGTGGCGGATAATCAATCCACTCTGAGCTCAGTGTTCTCTGCAAACGGCTCGCTGCTCTAAATGCTCGTGAACACTGAAACAGACTTTGAGTGAGAAGCACTGCTGTCTGTGCGCAGCGGTTCACCTGTGGCTTGCCAATGGTCCCAAAGCACGGGACAGGACTTCATGACGGATTGCATTTCTTTGTTTCTGGATCTGCTGCCTCCATCCCGTGACATTCCTTAGGTCCTAGTGACTTTGGAAGAGTGTTTAACAAGTGAAAAATGACATGCCTGGAAAATTATTTTTACAGCTACTGGAGAGAGCCTTCCGCATGCCTTAAAGGAGTAGAATTTAAATCAAAGCTGTTTTCAATGTTAGATTTGAATGTCCTCGAATCCATTAATAACTGTGTTTGCTTTGTCTGGAGCCAAATGTTTTCCTTATACATCTCTCTCTCATTCTCTAAATACTTTGTAATCCCTACAAAATTTTCCCCTATGTTTTGTGTTACCATGCTCCATCGTGGGTCTTTATTTTCTCACCTGCAAATATAACTGAGTGACCGGCATATTTGTTACAATATCAGGATAACATTACAAAGGGAAGTTTGCTGATTTCTTTTCTTTTTTTTCCTTTACATTATCTGGCATCAAGAAATGGTGTCTTAGGCGAGGGTATTTAGCTTAGTGGTTGATTCCCACAGCTCATAAAGGAGTGCCACGATTCAAAGCCCGGCTCTAGCTTTGCAAAGCTAGAAACCTGGGAGAAACCACCAAAGCAAAACCTGGGAGGCAGTGGGTGACGACTCAAGGGACCAGGTCCCTATTGCTCCCATTGGACACCTGGACTGTGTCCCTGCATCCTGACCCTGGCCCTAGTCCATACTGCTGCAGCATTTGGGGAGTAAAGCAGCAGATGGGAGCTCTCTGTCTCTCTGCCTCTCAACATTTTTTTAAAAGCAAAAGAGATTTTTCCTTGTTTAGGGAGCCAAGTATTTACCTTTTAAATATCCAACAGTGGGGTACTCCTTGGAGCGCCTTAATCCATAATGGTGTGCTGGAATTTGAATCCAGCTTCCTGCTAATCCACCCTGGGAGGCAGCAGGTAATGGCTCCACTAGTTGATGTCTGCCACCAGATGTAGAGCCCTGAACGGAGTTTCCAGCTCATGACTCCCCCCAGGGCCTGGGTTGTGTAGGCATTTAGGAAAGAAACCAGCAGTGGGGACAGTGGGGCTCCCCCTGTGTGCCTTCCTGACTGTTTTTCTCTTCTAAAACAAAAGCTGTTTTCTGGCAGAATTTCGCTTGTCCCGGGTATATTTCACCCCAGTCCTTTTTCATTCAGACTGATCGAAATAGGTCCACCTATATTTATGGAAGGTAATTTGTTTTATACAGTCTGCTGATATTATTGCCATATAAAAACATGACCACAAACTCATCTACAATAATGTTTAATATCTAGGTACTGTGGCATGGCCAAGTTGATACATAAAATTACCATCAGTTTTATGTCTGTTTTAAAAAGTGTTCTCCAGTGTCTTCCTTTGCCATCAAGCTTTCATTTGATATTTCTTGTTGCTGGAAATGTGACTTCTCTGAACACTACATTCCATCCGTTCTCTCGGACTCATTGTGCTTCATACTGAGGAGTCAGCGCATTTGGTTGACTTAAATCCTTTTTCAATACAGGAGAGAGGGGCTTATACAGGAACTCTTAAAAATGACCTTGTCATTTTTTATACTTTAAATGCTGTAAAGTTTATTTATTTATTAGAGAGGCAGATATCTCTTATCTGTTGGTTCACTCCTTAAATGCCTACAACCTCAGATTAGGCCAGGCTGAAGCCATAAGCCCAGAACTCACTCTAGGTCTCTCTCCAGGTGGCAAGGACGCAAGCTGGCACTGATGCTTCGCAAGAGCTGCATCAGTGAGAAGCTGGAATTGACAGTGGAACTGGGACTTGAATTCAGACACTCTGATGTTGGATGCAGGAATCCCAAGCAGCATCTTAAGCTTAAAATAAAACCCAAGACTTATTTAACATTGTTATAAGGTTCATTTTTTATAAGAGAGACTGGAGATGTTTGGGGATGGCTTATTTATTTATTTATTTATTTATTTATTTATTTATTTATTTGTTTATTGGAAAGTCAGATATACAGAGAGGAAGATCTGTCCACAGATTCACTCCCCAAGTGGCTGCTATGGCTGGAACTGATGCAATCCGAAGCCAGCAACCCAGAGCCTCCTTCGGGTCTCCCACGTGGGTGCAGGGTCCCAAGGCTTTAGGCCATCCTCAACTGCTTTCCCAGGCCACAAGCAGGGAGCTGGATGGGAAGTGGAGTAGCTGGGAAATGAACCAGTATCCACATGGGATCCTGGTGCATGCAAGGCAAGGACTTAAGCTGCTAGGCTACCATGCCAGAACCTTTTTAAAGACTTACAATTTCCCAGGACATGGAGGTCAGGATTAATCTTTATAAAGAGAATTCAGTGGAGCTTGGAGGGATACATCCATCCCGTAGGCCCCTTAGTCACCTAATGAGGCCACCTCTGTGATTAGAAATTCAGTCTACTTTTCACATATATTTCATCTCCTACTTTGGGAAATCCCTCGAGGACCCTCATCAGCGCTAGAGAACTAGTTGCAGCTGACACAACCACATTGACTTTGGCTTTTACTGTCTTGGAAGGAAAGGCCACACAGGAGACACTGTGGGCATCCGAGTCATCCTTAAAGGATGGCACAACGTGGACCTGGTATTTACACACAGCATGGTTCTCTTCCACAGATGGAGTGATCAACATGAGCATTCCCATCGTGCTGCCCGTCTCCACGGACGACAAGACGCGGCTGGAAGGGTGCAGCAAGTTTGTGTTGACTTACGGTGGACGGCGGGTGGCCATCTTGCAAGACCCTGAGTTCTTTGAACACAGGAAAGAGGAGCGCTGCTCCCGTATGTGGGGCACAACGTGTGAAAAACACCCCCATATCAAAGTAAGTTGTTAAGTCTTTGTGCTCTCATGTTCTGTTGCAACTGAGTAAAAAATCATTGTTTTCAGTTATTTCACAGAGGACTAAGAACAACCGAGGCTAGACGACAGATTGCATTTTGCAGATATGTTTTACAAATTTGCCCTAACAGAGCTTTTTACAAAGAAATGTCTGGCCATTTAAGGATATGTCTCACTGACCTCATTAAGTCCCAAGTTTCTGTACTGGCTAACATCCCCAGCTAAACAGAATGAGATTTATTCTGGTATCATGAGCAATGGAACCAAGCTGGAGCTGGAGCTACACAAACCATCACTGCTCTGGTTTGCACCCTTATCTGTTTTGAATAGGCACCAGGAAAATAAATATCCTCACCCAGAATGAATTCAACCAATCACTGGAAAGAACACTCAGAGTTTATGCTCTCTGGCCGGGGCAGAGGTTAATGACATTTTTCAGTACACAGAAATCAGGACAGACAGCACATTTTCATCAGGACATGTTTTCTTGTTCTTCTTCTCCTTTTTTATTTTGAAGTGTTTTCCCCTTCATATTTATTTGAAAGGTAGAGAGAGAGAAAGGGAGGGAGAGAAACAGAGAGTACATGCTTCCAACTGCTTCCATCTGCTGGGTCACTGCTGAGATGCCACATTGTCGAGGACTGTGATGGGCCAAAACCAGGAAATAGAAATTCAAGTCTGCCACCGGAGTGGCAGGGACCTGATGATTGAAACTGCGGGTGCTGGGTGCCAGAGTCTGCACCAGCAGGCGGCTGGAGCTAGGAGCCAGAGCCAGGCGCTGGACTCAGGTGCTCCAATGTGGAACCCAGCCCTGGTAAGCACTGGTGAAACACCTGCCAATCAGTGGATACTTCCCTTCTGAAAGTGATACTACTTTGTCAGCATGGGAGGCCACAGAGGAGAGGCGGTGGATGCAGCCAGCCGGAGGAAGCTGCTTGGCAGGAATCCTGGATTTGAGTCCTGGCTTCCGGAAGCCAGCCAAGTGCATTTGCCCGCAGTGAAACTGCCCTCGCTGACCTGGAAACGAGGATGTTAACTCTACAGAGCCCCAGTGTCCTTACAGTTCCAGATTCTTTTACTCCAACAGATATCACAGAAATGAACATAGACTCTTCCATCGGAGCACGTTACTTCTCCGTTGCCTTCTCCAGACCTCCTCATGGTTACCTTTCCTAGGAAAAGCCATTCACACGGGAGCTGTTCTTTTTCTTTTTTTCCCCTCTCTGCCTTTCTGTGTCCTTTATACCATCTCCCCCTCAGCTGCTGCTCTCACTCCATGCTCATCGCCTGCCCTCCCCAGGCTGCTGCTTTTCAGTCTTCTCCTGGCCTTCTTCAAGCCAGTCACCACAGCTGTGTCCTCAGCCTGGTGTTGGAGCTCGTCCTCACCGCCAGCTCACACTGCTATCGCCTAGGACTCCAAGCACAATTCTTCTTTCACTGCTTCTCTAGACTCCCTAAGATGTTCCTCATTTTTCTTGGTGCATTCAGTTCTGTAATTTCCAAACTGTGGCGCCTCTTCTGTCTTTGGATGGAGGTAGGGCCTCGTAGGCCAAGCCCTGGATTATCCACTGGACTTCCCTTCTCAGACAATTCTGTGGATGGCGGAACCAGCTGGAGGAGACGTGTTTGGTTTCAGCATTGATCTTCGGATATGCTTTTTAAAAGGCTGGATGGGGAACAAAGTGGGTTCAATGCGGCCCTCGCCGTTAGAGCAATACGGTATTAGGTGGGCCTCTAGCGTTCAGAATGAGTTACTGCATCCCCACAGATTTGGTGATTGTAATTCAGAACTGTCATCTAACTCGCAATGAGGAGTGTATAGGTATGGGAGTTTGAAAATATTTTTCACAGTCTTACTGAGCACAGACTTTAGAAAGGAGACCATAAATACACACACACACATATCCCTGACCCCAACACCCGCGTTGTAAATTGCATAGCATCTCAGATACTTTCAGATACCACCAGATGGGGCAAAATGGCTCTCTGTAGATCATTGCTCTAACCCCCTGTGGAATGCAGGTCGTCCATTATGAACCCCACTTGAGGGCCCTAATGGGGAATAGGAACTGGAGCATTGCCACCGTCATCTCTGTCAGTATTTTAGTAAGTATTTTAAATCAAGAGGTTCTTGGCCTGGCTTCCCTCTTCTCTGACAACACTGAGGCGGCAAAGCTGCTCTGACAATGGAGTGTGATAAGGGAAAGAATTATAAACCAATTCCGCACCTTACTAGGATTAACACTTCCTTAATTGAGGATTAGCATTTGTCAGGATATATAGCTGTATAATTGGTTATACTTCAATACCAGGTGGAAGTTAACTTTATAGGCAAAACAGAAGTTGTCCCTTTTTTGTCTATGTTGTTTTGACATTCTTCACACCAGGCTGACACCTGCCATTTATGAAGTTTAGGGAAGGGAGACAAGTAAAGATCCACACATTGTATGTAAGTTTTAAATATTTTTTAAAATTTGAGACACAGAGCAGCTCCTATCTCCTGGTTCACTCCCCAAACGTCCACAATGACTGAAGCTGGACTAGCTTTTTGAAGTATAGTTCACCAAACTCTCAGAGCCCCCTGACTCTGCAGAAAATTTCCAAGCCCAACACTGTGTTCATGACACTAAGTCATTTTATGTCCTTCATTGCATTGATATTTGCACTGCTGGTCCAGAACCAATGGCAAGTAAGCTGATTGCTATGTTAGACAGTGACGGCCAATTACGCGGTCATTGCTTTTCATCATTACTCTTTATTGCCATGCATTTGCAGAAAAGACATGACTATCAACCTTAACCTTTGTATTTTAATAAAATCCATGTCTTTTAAAATTTATAAAAAGAAGAAATGTGCACTAAAGTACTTCTGCCGCATGTATCCGTGCCCAACAGTTGTGTCAAGGGAAAGTGCTTGTGTGATTAGCTGAGCTGACAAAAACACTTTATTCCTCCCCCGCCCACAGAATACCATTTCACTTGAAAAAATTAGTAACAAATTATGTGGTTATTTAGAGTTGGGTATTTGGAAGACATTTCCCAAAATGAATAAAGAGAACCCATCATTCAAGAAAAACAGCTGAGAGTAGTAGTTGTTAATGATAGACTTTGAGGTTTAAAGCAAAGACATTCTAGAAAATTTTTACTAGTATCTGTGAACTTGACTGGCCCTTTCCCAGTATCCAGAAAACCTTCAGACAAGCCTAGCAGTGGTGTTTAAAAATGTGGTTTTTTAAAATTAAGTTTTATTTAAGTGCCTTTCTCTTTTTCAACTTCCTATGCCTAATTGGATTTTCTTTATATACTCGAGTTTAAACAATACATTATTCAGATTAAATGCACAGGACCTTAGAATCTAGAGAGTAAAGAGATTTAAAAACATGTATATCAATGCCATTGTTCCTATTTTTTTGAGGGGGTGGGAGTATTTTAAATGTTACTTATGTTAATCATAGGCTTACCAATGTTAATTTTAAATGAGTGAATAAAGTTTCTCAGTTTGAATTTTTAATATAAAACAATAAATAGCCCTGACATAAACAACAATTCATGTAGAAGTTTTCAATAATTTTTAAGCGCACAAGTGGAGAAGAAACCAAAGTTCAAAGAAATGCTGTGCCAGTAACTCAAGGTTGGTTCAGGGAAGGAGCACCTTTTTCATGCAAAATAGAAACCACTGCTAATCGTTGACAACTTCCACAATGTTCTTTCTAGATGGTGATGGAAAGTGGGGATTGGCTGGTTGGTGGGGACCTTCAGGTTCTCGAGAGGATACGGTGGAATGATGGGCTGGACCAGTACCGTCTGACGCCTTTGGAGCTCAAACAGAAATGTAAAGAGATGAATGCTGGTATGTAGGCTGGCTCTGGTGAATCAGTTACTACTCGTAACCGCCCTGTGATGAAAGAAAGCATCAGGAATCAGCATTTTTACAGCTTAAAAAACTGTAAACATCTTTTTACTCATCCATCTGATACAGAAACTGTTTTAGTTGTACCATATCCACATGCTAATTACAAATACACACGGACTCAGAAAGCTACCTACAGTGTATGAAGGGGAACAGCATGCTGTAGCACTGGTGCATTGTGGAAAACAATGCAAAATTTAACAACAGGTTTTCAAATTCTAACCAACTTCTGTGCAGAGAGTGCCAAAGTTTCAGGCATCACAAATACCAAAATACAGCTAGCAGCAGCTACATCTTGGGATCTAGATGAGGGCACGATTTTGACTCTGTATATTTTCAAAAAGAAGAGAAAAAAATGTACTGAGAGGATTATCTGCAGGTTTTTTTTTTTTAAAGGTAATCTGCTTTGGGCTTTTCTATATTTCCCTGGTTTTTTTTTAATAATGGATATATATAAAATACATTTCATCAAAAAAAAAAAGCTCTAAGGTTCTCATGAGTCCATTCTTAAGTGGAGTAGTTTTGAAGATCTCTTTGAAATATAGGTAAAATGCTTATGATATCTGCAGATTGTTTCCCCTTGCACAAACCCCAGAAAACATCCCATCAGAATGACCCATCTCCCTGGGGACAGTAGACGGGCAGCGTCCAGGAGGATTGTGCAGTGACAGCCCTGTTGGAGCCTTGGTTTGCAGGAAAGGCCTTTCCACCAGCTGTTTGCATTCCTAAGTAAGGTTTTCATTGCCTGTCTTTGCATCTTCCTCCATCTGAGCAACCCAGTATTGGTTATTGCTGTTGGACTAATCAAAAACAAATAGATTTAATGAACATACAGAACAATTAACCTAACACCACCTTCTTATCTAGCATTTTTTTGACCTCAGCTTTTCTGCTTGCCTTTCCCAGATGCCGTGTTTGCATTCCAGTTGCGCAATCCTGTCCACAATGGCCATGCTCTGCTGATGCAGGACACTCGCCGCCGGCTCCTGGAGAGAGGCTACAAGCACCCTGTGCTGCTGCTGCACCCCCTGGGCGGCTGGACCAAGGATGATGATGTGCCGCTGGCCTGGCGGATGAAGCAGCATACTGCTGTGCTTGAGGAAGGGGTCCTGGATCCTAAGTCAACCATTGTTGCCATCTTTCCATCTCCTATGCTGTACGCTGGTCCCACAGAGGTAAGAGATCCCCTGATGGGCTGTGGGATGTAGGAGGGCAGGTTCAAACTGTACTGGGAATTATGGGTCTCTGGGCTTTCTTCCTGAGAGCAGATTCTGGGATCTTCTAGATGCTCTCCTTTATCTCCTTTACTACTGTTAGCATTTAACATTTATAAAACTGTTGGAAACATCAGACCAAAGCTCCTGTATGCTGCTCTTAAGAGTACTGTATGTGGTGTCAATGAGGTAGATAATGAAGTTTGACTGAGTCATAACCTAATGCTCCATTTCAGTCATTCCAGTTACTCTGACTGACCCTGCGCTGGGAACTATTTGAGAGGATGCCTTGAAAAGATAAATGACTCCTTTTCATCCTAACATGGCGATCTTATCAAATAGCAGTTCCCTAAAACCCCCTGTACCATCAGCGTGATAGATTTGAATGAGTCTAGTGGAAGTAATAAATTGAAAGGGTCTTAACACTTTCAAATGCCACACATGGAGTTGAATGAATTTTCCAGCAGATTACAACTCCAGACCCTTAACTCTCTTCTCCATCCTTTGTTATTATCTAAATTTTTTTTTTAAAGATTTATTTTTTATTATTTTTTCATTGGAAAGGCGGATATACAGAGAGAGGAGAGACAGAGAGGAAGATCTTCCGTCCGATGATTCACTCCCCAAGTGAGCGCAACGGGCCGATACTATGCCAATCCGAAGCCAGGAGCCTCTTCCGGGTCTCCCACGCGGGTGCAGGTTCCCAAAGCTTTGGGCTGTCCTCGACTGCTTTCCCAGGCCACAGGCAGGGAGCTGGAAGGGAAGCGGGGCTGCCGGGATTAGAACCGGCGCCCATATGGGATCCCGGGCGTGCAAGGCGAGGACCTTTAACCACTTGCGCCACCGCGCCGGGCCCTATTATCTAAATTTTAAACAAGTGTTGTTTTGAGCTGGGATCAATGGCTGGATATGATTGGCAATTCACTCACTATTGGCAGATAGTCAGATGTTGGAGTTTCCTGTGTCTGAATAAGGAGTGAAACTGATGTTATTGTTTAGGAGAGTTGAGTGTTCCTGAGCTGCTTGTCTGTCTGGAAGAGGGTATGAGGGTGTGAGGAAATATAACCCAGAGTGTTATGAGGGGAGATTCGTATCCTGAAGACCCCTGGCCCATCTGTCCAACACAAGCAAGCTCACAGCAGAGAGCACAGTGCCTTAGAACCTCACTGACTTTGTTGTAACTTTTAGTAGACACCCATGACTGAATCACTTGTGAAGCAGAATGAAGGCATCCCCACAGCACGTCCTTTATGTAATGTTTCCTAGGTGCAGTGGCACTGCAGGTCCAGGATGATTGCAGGGGCAAATTTCTACATTGTGGGCAGAGATCCAGCAGGAATGCCCCACCCAGAGACCAAGAAGGACCTGTATGAACCCACTCATGGGGGCAAGGTGTTAAGCATGGCCCCCGGCCTCACCTCTGTGGAAATCATTCCATTCCGAGTGGCTGCCTACAACAAAGCCAAGAAAGCCATGGACTTCTATGATCCAGCAAGGTATGTTTTCAGAGGAAAATGCTAAAAATAATGTCTGTACACATAGAATGATCAGGCAAAATTTTGGCCTTTGGGGGAACTCTCCAGTGCACTTCTACTTGTTCCCAAATGGAATGAGAATCCCATCATTGTCAAAACTAGTTCTTACACATTACAAAACCCTTAAAGTTATAGCAGAGCCACTTGCACGAAGCAGGTAGTCCAAAAATAGCTCTGTTTCAGCGTGTGAGCTTGAACACATACTGAGTCCCTGGACACATTAAGTGGAAGAGGACTGTAGACACAAGATCAGATGAGTCTTTGCAGTGCACTCACTCCTCATGCTGGGCATTACGAAAGTGGGCTGAGAAAGAATTCTGAATCTCTTGCCTCAAGACACTGTTCACGAAGAGGTTAGAGATGCAGTAAGCACAGTGGTAGCGACTATTATTTCCCGAAGGTACACTCTATTTGCCATGTTTGAAGGTGCAGTCATGCAGAAAGAAAAGTTGTCTAAGAACCAATAACCTACTCCAGGAATCGTTAAGGCAGATGTTATTTCATGTACAATGAGTTCTTTGTTGCCACCCTGTGACAGGCACAATGAGTTTGACTTCATCTCGGGAACTCGCATGAGAAAGCTCGCCAGGGAAGGAGAAAATCCTCCAGACGGCTTCATGGCGCCCAAAGCGTGGAAAGTCCTGACAGATTACTACAGGTCCCTGGAGAAGAAAAACTAAGTGCTTTTTGCTGTTGGAGTTTCTTTCCGAAGTGCTCTTTGATCACCTTTTCTATTTTTGTGATTAGATGCTTTATATGCAGTTGCTTCTCAATGACTGATTTTGAAGTTAGTATTTTATAGGGAGACAAAAATAAGACAACTCCAAAATATAAAGTTAATCTGAAGACCGAATCTTAGTAAGTGAAAGCAATATTGTTACACATTTCAGAATAAAGCTAGCTATATTTCTACTTCATTGAGCAGGTAGGACCCAGATTTCTTAAAAGCTTTTATTGTGTATCATTTACTCGCCAGAAAGTAAAGCATATTTTTCCAGCTTAAATCTTGCCAACCTGCATTCTTCCAGCATCAGTAATGAAGTAAGTCAGAGGGGCAGCTTCTTCCATACAAGGGACTCTCCTTCTGCCCCTAAAGAAAAAATATCACCATAAATGAGCTGGGGCTCAAATCAGTATCTTGTTTCTATTTTACCTCATGCTTTTATGTAGTCTTATTTGACCAGAGAACCCAAGCGTATGATAATGTGAATTTAATCCTTGTGATCTATGAAGAACGTAACTCCATTTAAACGATGACTTCTAACAATTGTAGTGTATACTGATGCAAGGATTTGCACAGAAGGGCTCGTAGTCTGGCGATGTTGTGAAAAGTGATTTTTCTTCCTCTTTTGCTGTGCTCACTGTGTTCCACAGAGAGGCTGGGCCTGTCTGACTACACAGTATCAGCTATAACCTAAGAATATGTTACACCATCCAACTAGTAAGATGCTAGAACTGGAAAGACTGCAGTAAATGTTGAACGTTAACCTTTCACTTGACAGAAAAACACACTGAGACGCGGTGGCTGCACAGGTGCAGAACACTGTAATAAAATGCAAGGTAGGGCATCCTTAGCAGGTTCCCATGCACAGTGAGCACTTAGGCCACCTGACTGCACATCTCAATGTCTGTGGACCCCGGACATCACAGGAACCTGGTCGCCTCTCGGGCGCTTCACAAAGCTTCTTGAACAGAGGGTGCATGCAAGCAGCCTTCTTGGGTAACAAAAGCTCTAGAATGTTCTAAACTCCTTTCAGTTTACTCTAGTTGGAAACAAATCCTCAGATTTTTCCAAAGACAAGAGCTGTTTTGAGACACCCTCTGTTGGATTTATTTCCTTAGAGGCAATCTTTTGTACTAAATGCACAATTCATTGCTGGCTAGTAATTATGAAGACACAGCACCTTTTATACATAGATCTCTCTGGAAGAGACCGAGATAGGAAAGAGAAAACTGATTTTTTCATATTCTCACTATTTTTGATTTTAAATGATAAACTTCTTTTGGGGATTAATTTCTTTCAATGGCCACAGCAACATTCATAGGCACTCAGTGTTGCCTTTTTAAAGTGTATTTATTGAAATGACAGGATATAGTGCCTTAACCAAATGTACTTTACGATTTTTAAAAATCTATTTAAAATTGCCCTTCTGGTGTAGCACATTTATGCAAATGATTGTTTTCTATGTACAACTGATGCCTGTTCTTATCTTAATAAATGTCTCAAAACAGGGGCTGAGTGAGTCTCGAGTACCTGAAACTGGGTGTGACTGGCCACATGACTGAGGGCTTTGTGGTTTCCTATCATTGGAGACAGCCAGCAGCAGCAACTCTACAGCCGTAAGCGAGAGTCTGCCTTTGTAGGTGTTTTCAAATATCGAGATGTCGGGGACCCCCAGCATGAGCCATCCAATTGTGGTGCTCTTCAGGAGGGACTGGGCTGCTCAGGGGCCTTGGCAGCATCCCTCGCAGGAGCAGATCTCTTCCAGACCCCTATCTAAAGAAACCAAACTGCCATCCAATGCCTCCCTTTCTCTTGAAGGAACACATCGAAGCTTCTCCAAGGTGCTTCACCTGCAGGTTTGGAAGACGTTGCATTTTTTCCCTTAACCGTGCTCACCACCTCTGTTAACCTCAGCAGCTGCTGCCTTTCTGAGTACCAAGCAAAGACGGCTGTTTCCACCTGTACTGTCAGGTCTGGCAGCATCTTCTGTCCTCCTTGACTCCCTGATCCACTCCAATCTTGAAGGCTTCCTGCAGCTTTTTGTTCCCGATTCTCACCCCAAATAAAACTGGCCTAAGAACCAACTCCAACCTGCCCTTTGTAGCTCTTCCCTCTTTCTTCCCCAGATCTTCCTCGGTAGGAAAAAGCAAGGCAGGCATCGTAGGTGGCACTGAGGAAGTATGTGAGAATATTTAGTGTAGGGAGAAAAAGGTCCAGGAAAAGCATACTTAAATCATGTGCTTTGATAATGGTGGTGGGCCTTAATTTAGCAACACTAATTTTCATTAGGCCATATCCAAACCATCTCCCCTGTGAAGAATAAACAAGCCTAGGTTATATGACAATAATAACATCATTCTTTTCTGTCCATTTTCCTCTTTCCTATTGGGTATCTTTTATATCTAGCACTGATCCTCAACAAAACTTTCCTTACAGGCAGGAAATCAGCCAATTAGCCTGACACCAGATCAACTATTCTTGTCTAAAGGTTTGTTAGAACAATAGTACAGCTTTTTCAGTGACACAATTTTCCATTATCTATGAATAGGCATAAAGTACCAAGATCTGGGGCTGGCATAGTAGGCTATTCCTCTATCTGCAGCATCAACATCCCATATAGGAAGCAGTCTGTATCCTTAGCTGCTCCACTTCTGATCCAGCTCCCTGCTAATGGCCTAGGAGGGCAGCAGAAGATGGCCCAAGGATTTGGGCCCCCTCACCCACTTGGAAGACACAAAAGGAGCTCCTGGCTCCCACCTTTGGATCAGACTGGCTCTGGCCATTGTGACGATTTTGGGAGTGAGCCAACATAAGATCTCTATGGTGCAGATACTGAAAGAATAAACACGTTTGGTTCTTTGGAGAATATTAACTATTATTGGCCCATTCACGGTACACATCACCAAATGATATGCAAGCCTTTTTACAATATGCACTCCAAAGGACTATTTTTTGCTTCTACTCTAGTTTTATACACATTATTAAAAATCAACAGTCACTGGCTAGAGTTTGGGGGGTCCTTCTTGCAAAGTTCCAAGAGCTCCTTTTGTGGGTTTTGGCTGGGTTTGGACATTTACTTTCAGGACTCTGAATCGACTGGGCAATTTAAACAGTGTATTTGATAGAGTGGAGGAATAAAGGCAAGATTATTGAACATTTTCTCCTTAAAAAAAAAATCTGAAGCTTTCCCAGTTTCTGTCCTAAATGTGACACTTTAGCTTCCCTTTGATCTCATCAACTCCTCATGTCCTTCAAATAAAGCCTTTATTGCTTAAGCTAAAACTGGCCGCTTCTAAAGGAATTCTAACTTTGCGTATCCTTTATTATCTATATCCATGCCCACCCCCAACCCTCATCAGCCTGCAAAAGCCTTTGTTTTACTGGATTGTAACTGCCATCCTCAATTTGTGCACTTAAGTCACTCTTCAAATTTCTGGTAGCTATGTTAACATTTTTTTGAACAGTGTGGTACATCCCACACCATGTCTGATTTTCAGTTTGGGTTGGTTTTAGCTTTGGGGCTGAGCTGCTCAGCAGGGTAGACCCGTAACCTTAATACATGCCAGCCCCAGCAATAACATCTAATGAGTCCACATCAAGTTGCTGCTGGAGTTTTAATCCCACAGGATATTAGATTCTTTGCAGTATTCTATTTTAGGAGAAGCCCCCTCCCTCCCACCATCGCCAAAAAATACTACTACTATCTTACCTAGCTTCTGTGTCCAGAAGAGAACTATAACATATCCACAATCCATACAGCTTCACTAAGAAACATCCTACCAATGAGATCGTACTGCCACTTTTACACAAGTACATGTACAATTTTTAAACCAGTACCATGCCCAAGTTATAGCTACTAAGGTTAGGTTACTGTGGTTCATAACCAGCTCAGCACTTAGTAACATGATAAATTCGGGGTCTACTAGCCAATGCGAGGACTTAATGGCAGAGACGGGGGGGGGGGGGGGGAGGGTAGAAAAAGAACCAGTAAAGATGACACTGATTTGATTGTTATTGAGTATTTAAACTCCACCTGAGATAGGCCAGGCTTATCAGAGGCCTTCCAACAGGGAAGCTTTTCTGAAGCTCCATCACACAAGTGAGCCTTCCGTCCTCAATCTCTAGAGCACAGGGTTAGGGGTAATAGAAATGGTTTAAACAAGCAGAATGCTTGAAGACTGCGCCTGCTCAGCAGGGCATGTGCAGCAGTAGGTAGGAACAGTCATAGATTGCTAGCAGCTGAGAACAATGCTGCCAGGCACTGTGCCTAGTGCTTCAGATGAGAGCACTCATGAGACATATATACATTATGAAGAGATTATGCATGGATTTCAAGATTTTTTTTTTTGCAACACACTTTTAATTCCATTTTCCTACAAATCATTTGAAATACCTTCCTGTGGATGATCATATTTGATCCTTTAATCTGGGTGTCACTATTATCCCATTTTGTAGCTGAGAAACAGACTCGAAAAGGTACCCAGTCTAAAGGAATACAATTAACAGAACTCAAGCAATCTGATTCTAGATCCAGGACTCTTCATTGTTTGACACAATGAATTGTCTTAGATCTTAGAATCCAGCTACATAATTAAAATGCACCCCTAAAGAGAGAGAGAGAGATTTTACATTAACAGTAATAAGTTCTTGAAAATTCTAGAAACCACAGTTTCTTCAGCTACTTTATAGCCTTAACATGCTTAGCTGGGTTATGCATTTGGGAATGGAGCATGGCTCTTACTTCATCTGATGATTAAACCACGCAAACATGCAGTGCGCTCTGGCGCAGCAAGTTCAGTTACTGTTCCAGGATCCCATTACACCATACCAGTTTGAGTCCTGGCTGCTCCTCTTCTAACCCAGTTTCCTAACAATGTACCTGGGAAAACAGTGTTAAGATGCCCAAGTACTTGGGACCCGCTACCCACAACAAGAGACGTGGAAGTTCAGGCTCCTGGCTTCAACTTGATCCAGGCCTGGCTGTGTGGTCTTTGTGCAGAGTGAACCAATGAGTGAACCGTTTCTCTCTTTCTGCCTTTCAAGTAAATAATAAATCTTAACAAACAAACAAGCAAACAAAAAACCAACCTTTTAAAATCCAGGCAAATGCAATAACTACCACCCCTACTACTCTGAATTTGAGAAAATGAAAAGTATAAAGGATACGTCACCCCTAATTTTCATGCAACACATTGCCATGTGAAAATTAAATGTTTACTGAAGTTCACATTAAAGACAGAATGAACAGAATTCTAGAATTTCCATCTGAAGATAAAAATCATCCAATACAAGCTCTACAAACTTAAAATACCCCAGAAAATTTGAAGTAACTTGAAAAGACCAAGGATTAAAAGATGGAAAAATAATGTAGGACCCTTTTATTATACATTTATAAAATTAAGTCTAATAATGTTATTAAAAATGGGACAATTTTTTTCTGGTATCTTGTATTTTGCATTCCATTTTTCATTATCTTCAGATATTTTGGATACTTGTTATCCAAATTATTCTGCAATCTTTATACACCATTCAAAGTACAAGCGAATAGTAAACTATCCAGTAAGTTCTCATGAAAGACATCAGAGAAGTTAGTCCAGTGACTCATGAATAAAGACTGAAGATTTCAAAGAAATGCAACAAAAACAAGACCATGAGGCATGGTTTAATCTTTCTGATGATTCAGAAGGCACCACAAGATTGTGTGGTGCCATTTTCTTCCCGATGGGCTTAATTGCCTGTAACAAAACACTGATAGATTTTTGGAAAAATTTTCTTTCATATGTGTGTGCTTCACATAACATCAAATGACTACAGATACAATATGAGGGCTTTGAGGTGTATGCCTGTTCTTAACTAGGGCACTCCTGATAATAAGAAAACTAAAAATTCTAATTACAAAATGAGTATTTTTTTTAACACATTTAGTAACAGTTTCTGATTAAAGAACATGTACCTTTAAAACAACATTTGAAAAACATGGTTACAACAGAACTCTGTTACATTAAATGAGGAAAGGAAAATTTCACACCTGTACAGAAGGACACTGAAGTTTCTAAAACCCATTTCAATCAACTCAAAACTCTCAACAAAGTCTGTTCATCAATGTGCTTGCAGAAAAAGTGAACTCTGTTGATTACAGGACTGCCTAACAACCATTCAGGGCTCATCACTGAACAAGTACTGATTATCCCGACAACTGCAGCAGAGAAATTCCCAAATTAAAAAGGCTGAAACAACACCTGGCAATGGCTGAATCACTGTACCTTTCAGACACAGCATTAAACCTGTTTTGCTATATACTATGTGGTACTTTTGGATTCAGTAGCTGGGGTAAAAAAAAGTTTCTGTATTCAAACATATCTACAGAATGTTGATATAAAATGTGTGGATATATACATTTAATACATACATACATACACACGCACACTCACACACACACACACCTGGGAACCAGCACCTCTAATCACATTCCCACTTCTCACTAGACCTGATGAATCATGTATTACTT